TAGAAGATATATATCTATATATAGATCAGGTATTTCTGTGCCTCAGGTCTTCATCTGACCCCTGAAGTGTATTATATTTATTATAAACACCAAATACATATTTGTCCTCATGGAATACAGATTCTTCTCACACTATTCTTAGCTCAGTGCTGCTGCTGCTTTCCCTGTGTTTCCTGTGTGGGAAGGCAGATTCTGGCAGCTCAGGATGTCAAAAAAATTAAGTTTTCTCTTGAAACTTCCCACAAACTCCTTGTGGGAGTGAGAATTGAATCTCAATTTCCCCTGTACCCCCAAACCACCACTGGTGGTGGTTCCTAACCAGGCCCAGCACTTTGTGCCTCTTGAGCATCACATTTTTAGTGAAGTCTCAGACATACTTTTCTGATATAATGCAGATAAAAACTGAGTGTATGAGCAGGGTGTTTTTTCCCAAATGAAGCTTTTCAGTGGCTGTTGGAGTTTTCTGTTCCCCACCAAGGCCCAGCAGACTTGCCAGGCTGGTTCTCTTTGCTCACCTGTCCATACAATCTCCCTTTGACTGGTGTCCTTTCAGGTGCTGGACACCTGAGATCCCATTGACTTCCTGGCATTTATATTTCATTCTCCTCCAAGACAAAGCTGCCCATCTCCCTGCCTTTGTCCTTTCCCAGCTGTTAAATGGGGAAAAGATCATTTCCAAAGGGGTGGTGAGGAGGAGCTCATGTTTGCTGAGGTGCCTGGAGATAAGTCCCAGGGAAATGGGGAGGAAAGAGGGTGTGCAGGGAATTCTGAGCCACTGCTGGCTGGCTGGGAGAAGGGAGCTGACTCCACCATGCTCCCACAGCTGCTCTTCCTGAGGCTGGGAGGCTGCTGAGACCTTCATGGGCACAGGGGACAGCACGAGGGATGTGCAAAACTTGGTTCCAGTCTGGGAGCTGCCACGGATTAACCTTGGGATTCCTCCCCCTTGGGAGGAATTCCATGTTTTCTGTGAGCTCTGCAATTACAATTAGTCACAGAATCATGGAATTTGAGGGGGTTGGAATTGACCTTAAAGATCCTCTGATGTGGCAGTCCATGGCTTCCCTCTGACTGCCCTGGGACCCTGGCAGGGGTCAGGAACCCCCTGGACAGAGCCCCCAGAGACACTGGCTGTGATCTCTGTCCATGGAAAAGAGTTTTCAATCTTACAGGATCAATTACCAGCTCTGAGTGTTTGATATCAGGAATAATTAAGTGTGGCACGGGTGCAAAAGTAAAATTTTAAAATTCTAGATTGAGAGTCCAAAGCAGGACAAGATAGAAAAAATTGTGTGTGTCATGTCCTTTTTCTCCTTCTTCATGCCCTCCATGTCTCACTGTGGTGTTGGCATTTTTCTGTTGGTTCAGGCTGGGGACACACTGTCCAACGTAGGTGACAGATATTGGCACGTTCTTGTAAATCCAGCCCAGGGAGTTTCTGGTATTTAATGTTTGTACCATCCCACTGAGGGCAGAGCCCCACACGCTGCCCTGCAGGACAGAGCTGGGCAGGGCAGCAGAACATGTGAGAGAGAAATAGAATAAACAAACTTGGAAGCAGCACAGATGAATTATCACTTCTTCTTTGGCAGTGGGGCTGACAGACAGAGACTTTCTACAATCTCAGAATCATCAATACCACAGATTCTGACACTCCATTGCCAGGGGCAGGGCACCTTCCACCATCCCAGGTTGCTCCAAGCCCTGTCCATCCTGTCCTCGGACACCTCCAGGGATGGGACATCCACAACCTCCCTGCACCACCCACACAGTCAATTCCTTTTAATTATTTTAATCTGGCAGCATTTTGGTGCTGTCCCAAATCACCGTGGTTTTCTGCTTGGGGTCACAGAATGGTTTGGGTTACAAGGGCCCTTTTAAAAGTCTTCTCCTCCAACCCTGCACTGAGCAGGGCCACCTTCACTGGATCATGGTGTCTCTCCAGGGGGATTCCT